CGATGCGAGTCCTTGGAACACGTACCTCCGAACAACCGTGCTCCATTTTACGTTGCGCAGCTAAGCACTGATGTGTGGGCAGAGAACAAAGCAGTGCGATGCTGAATTCCATTGTCAAATAGCGCAAGCACCGCCCGTAACCACACTCCCAGCGCTCGCCCGGGTGGCTCGATACAACGCAAATTTCGCAGTCTTCCGCCGTCATCGAGCCCAATGGTAGTACGGCATACGTGTCAGACGATGAGACCAGCGTTCTCTGAATGTAGCTGCATTAAGCAGCGAAGATCGCTGGCGGCCCATTTTAGCGCTGGATGGACGCAGCGAGAATCGACCAGTTCAAACCTGTCGCTAAGAGCCACACTAGGCGGCTTCGAAGGAGATGGTTGTGACATAGCTAAGTGCCGACATGATGGCGTGTGCAGCTGGATGTAACTAAGAGACAGCAACACGCTGTTTGTATAACATGAGGGACAATGACATACCTCGTCTGCAGATTGTCCTCACACACGGTTCCGCTAGTATCCGTCCAGTGTCTCAAGCTCTGGAATCGCGTTCTCATGCGTTTCGCGCTCAGCATCCGCGTCATCGATGTGAGTGTAAAGTGTGCCTTAGACAGTTGATGCCTTACAAAATTCTGTTGCTCACCCGCTCAATTTGCGGTTGTGTTTGAAGAACATGAATAAGGCGGTAAGAAGTCAAAGAAGAACACGTGTGGCGTGTGAAAGCATCTGACAATCACGTGCTTGATACTCTTTGATTCTTACATAATAGGCGAACCGTGGTGGCGCGATAGCTCATGGACTTGATAGGCTCAATCGGGTTTATGATCAAGCCACAACCACGGATTTGCTGCGAGTGACTTATCGTTGCTCTCAAACTCATGCCTCCTCTGGTGGGAGGAGAGGACACACCGCTTCTTCAGCACCCCGAACCGCCCGTTGATTCACTCAGATGGCAGACAAGTTACTCTCCGATTACGCTCATTATCCCCGTCGCGATGATATGCCGGCTTGCAATACGACTTCCCTCGACAACGACCTTCCATGTCATTCAACAATTGATTTGTCGCATCTGGTACTCCTCTCATGACCCGAGCAGCATCCCTGCAAACGGGCGGATACCGAACGAACTGTGTGAGGTGCCCAATGTCCAGAAAAACTATGCAGCGGCTCTCACCGTCATGGCCATGAGCGACGGGATTGGATGTGAGCTTACACCTCATGTTCTCCTGTATTTTTCATAGAACTCTTTTTTTCCCCTCTCACAGCCATAGTAGCATATACCGCCCTCGGATTCATGGCCTCCAGATTAGGGAGGAAACCCGCAATACTCTCTGTAATCACTGTGGGCCTCGCCGCGGACGTTTTGGTCATTGCTTCCAAGCACGTCAGCACGCAGATCGAAATTGCACTCCTCGGGCTTTGGGTGGTGTGCAACTCCTTGTCGCAACCGCTCATCGTCGTATTCGCCACCAACATGTACCTAGTAGACTTGGTGAATACGGAAGGAAGGTAGGCCAACACGCCTTCTGTGTTAGTATGCGCTCAATTGTTAATAGGACTGCAGCGCTCAGCTCCTTATGGGGCTGGTCGACACTGGGTATGTCAACATCTTGAGGCGGCGATCCCTATGTGATCTTTGTTAAGGATCTGCGTTATCCTTCACTGCCGGCGGGGCAATTACCACACGCTCCAACCAAGATCTGCCTGTGTATTACACTGCAGGCGCCATTTGGATTGCACTGTGGGCCTATATCTGGCTCTTCGTCCCTGAATCCTTCCCGAAACACAAGCGCCAGGCGCTTCGGTGCCAGCTTGCCGCCGAGGCGGAAACGTTCCAAGGTTCTGGCAGGAACCATGTCCTGCGTAAGATCGGTCCAATTTTCGAACCACTGCACCAGTTAAAGCCATCACGCGACCCCGAAACTGGTGCACGGAACTGGCGCCTTGTGTACTGCGCTATCCATGTTTTTCTGGTGGACCTGGGCGGGAGTTACGGTACGACAGCCTTGATAGTGTATCTGACGGCGGTGCAGAAGTACACCCCACAAGAGGTGCGGTTATTGTCGTCTCGGTGGGAACCGAAGTATCGATATCCGTCGCATTCTAGACTGGGTATGCACTGACAACATTGAACTTGACGGGCGTCGTGGTTCTGACTATTGTCATACCATTTTCCGTCAAAATCCTTCGCCCTCGATATGAACGAGGGCAGTTATCGACATACCCTTTGAACAACAGCTCCATCATCCGTGCACGGGACCGTCTTGACATCCACGTAGTTTCCCTGTCTTGGGTTATCGAAGCAACGTCGTATATTCTTCTGGGACTTGTGACCAGCAGGATGGCGCAACTGGGAGGTAAGGTCATTCCGGTTTAGAAAGAAAAAACTGCTGATAACTCCGTTTCACTAGCTGTTATACTCATCGGATGCAGCGCAGGCCGCGCGCCCGTCTTCCGAAGCCTAGTCGTCTCTTCAATCGATCCGTTGAAGCAAGGTCGTGCACTTCCAATGAACACCGCACTTCCATTTACTGAGATATTCCAGGACAAACACTGGCAGCTATAGAGATGATGGCGAGTTTCGGGAAGCTCTTGTCCCCACTGTTGATGGGCGGTATTCTCTCTGCGTAGGTTTGGTGATATTTTAGCTGTCCCCTCTTAACTTGATTCATTACTACCAGAACGATATCTACGCTGCCGCAGCTCGTGTTCTATGTACAAGCGGTAGAAAGCATCCCAGAATTTTCGAGCGTCTTGCTGATGCGTTTTTCGCAGATCATCGTTGTTTCCGCTGCCATGGTCCTGTTCCTTGTCAAGGGCTCTGGTCGGCATAGATAACATTTAGATAACGTCTAGAATCCAAGATCAACTTGCATGAATGCAATGAAGTTGCAGGTGAACAGCTTTTCGGATCTCATGTTCTTGGATATCGAGATCACTACTAGCAGCACACGATGGAAATTCTGGGAATCATGTTATAACGAGTGCATTCCGACTAATACAAGTACGGATGTCTGTCTGTCTGTCGTGTGTATGCGACTGTCCGTCCTGACGACACTCTTCCGCGGGGCCGAAGCCTAGGACATAGCGCCGCCTAGCAGGTCCGAGTGGGACCTTGTGTGTCGTGGAGGTACAGGCGACTCGAGAATCACTCGTCGAATCGCCAGCGGGCAGCACAGATGCTGGGATTTATTCCTTCAGCGATTGATCCCACGAGTAGAAGAGGGGAGAACACACCTCAGCATCCAATGATGCCAGCCTGAAGCGCCTACCAGATTCGCGGAAGCGGCAGATCCTCGATGATCACCTTCGTGCGGCGGTTCGGGTACCTGGCCACGAAGGTCCTCGTCTGGATAGGCGCGGCGGTGTCCGTTTCGGAGGTATGCGCGCTCTTTGGTGTGGCAATGGATGGGTCGTCCTTGGCCCACTCCCCTTTCTCGACGAGTGTTGTGGTCGACGCGCTCGCGGCCGCCGCGGCTTTGGCTCTTTCGAGCGCCTGTTCAGCGCGGACGGCGTCTGAGGCGCGCGGACCCGTCTTCTTCCACCAGTCTCTAGTGACTACGATGGACTCCTAGAATCACGAAGCTGGTGAGATTGAGTCGTGCGCAGGGGATGTAAGAGGTGCGTACCGCTTTGTAGGCGTCCGGGATGTCGCCGATCGAGACCCACCGGACGACCGTGATGTAGATGATCACGAATAAGACGACGAGACCCCAGCAGACGACGGGTGAGATGGGCGGGGTGTGCAGGGTGTAGAAGGGGCTATGGGGGTCCGTGACGGTCGGCATGGGGCCGAGGGACGTGGTGGATCCTCTCATCGCCTCTGAGTCGTACACAAACGTAATCGTTGTGGTGGCATCACGAGCCCTGATAGTGGGAGTGGGGAAGGGCCCAATCATGGCTGCACTGAAAATGTTAGACGGTGTATAAGCGTGAGGACGAGGGACTTGCTCGTGATGCTCTCGAGGGTAGCCATGGACGCAACAGTGCCGGTTAACTGGTCGTCGCGAGTCATGGTAGGAAGAGTGGGGGCCATTCCTGTGAATAATGAAAACGTTAGATGGCATATGAGTGTGAGGATGAGGGACTTACTTATAATGAGAATGTTGAGGCTGTTAAGCTATTGTTTATGTGTTAACGTGTGTTGCGGAGTGCAATACTGTTGAAGACTTGGCAAGAAGGACACGCAATTTATAGTGTGAGCCAAATAGGGGTTGAGACATTTTGGTTCCGCGGACTCCGAATCGGAACAAGTCTCAAAACGGAAGCATATCTGCATCCTCCGGTCTAGAGCCCTCTGGACTGGCACATATTTCGCTCTGTACTGTGCGGATGGTTCACATGGATATCACAGGTTTCGCTCTGAGAGGCTTAGGCCGGGCAGCGTGAGGCGCGTTGTTGGGTACTCCATTCACATAAGTAGTACTTTGGTCAAGGGCGAGCCAAGTTGGAGACGATATATCCTAGCTTGCACACTCATAGAAAAACAGATACATCACCATCTGCCCTTGTGCTTTGGGACTCGGGTCACAAGTCCGACAAGTCCGAGTGGTTTTACTGACCACGTGACTGCCGTTCAAATCCTTGTGTGCACACCTTGTACTAAAGTCTCACACATTTTGAGATCACAACAAAGATACGTTAACTGAGAATGAAAGGAAATAAAATAATTGTGGCATGGATCCACGGTTCAATAGAGATGGCGACAAAAACAAAATCACTTAAGGCGGTTTATCGGACTCGTCTGCCCCGAAACATGACCCCACTCCGCAAAGTGGGGAAATAGTTTGTTTGAATCCTGCCTGAGGCATGTGCCGCAGAAAGAGGAGCGCAGGCTTGCTTGATTTTTTCCCGCCTTTTCGAATCAGACCCGAGCCACACACGCCCGGCGGTTTGAAAAACAACTCTTTTGTGTATGAATATCTCACTTGCCAAACGTTTCCGTCGATTGCAACCCAAATATGCCAGGACTATCGAGGTTGGTTTGTGCAATGGAATGGCTCGGTGGTGGGTGGCCCAAATGCGCGTCTTAGAGCACAAATAGCGCAGCGCAGATGCAGCCTGTTCGAATCAGGCCCGAGCCGTCGACAGATCAGGAACTTTTTGTTTTTGTTCCAGCAACGGCAAGCCCGGAAATTCTATGCCTACGTTCAACCCTTGGGTGCCCAGGATACGGTATGAGAACGGCCCGGTGGTAGATGGTCCACGTCTACACTCATTAGATCGAGAATCGTCGAGAGGCGGGAGAACGAGTCGGGCTGCACCACTTGCGCGGCAGGCTCGACGTGGTTAACGCTTGTAAGCTCTCTTTCGTGTCTGTTTCTCTATCTCTGGCGGTGGACTGATCGTAGTTTCCCCAGACTACTCGCAGTGCCTGTGATTCGTTTGCGGGCTGGCAAAAGGTGTTTCTGGGATGTATAGTAGCACGTTCTTGTCCGAGTCGGGAATATTCTTCGTCGTTATGATTTATGCGTGACCTCGGAGACAACGAGTCTTCCCTAACTGAATACTAAACAGCGTGTGAGCTGATAATGTCTTGGCAAAGAGGGCGCGTCAATGCATTATGTCTCTTCTCACCTTATGATCGTTTAAAGCTCGGCCTTCAATATCCAGCTGAGTCCACCCATAAGAATCATAGGAGTTCATTATGCCCACCCTCCAGCCAGGCCACAAATCTGGCCGCAGCAGCCAAAATTTTGGATATGAGATCTCAGCAACTCAAGAGCCTTGACCTAACTGCAAAGACCGACATGGTCGGTGGACAACCTCAAAGTGTCCACCGACCATCTCGGGATCTGCACATACGCATACTATGCCTATGCCCTATACATAGTTAAATCTATGGCTGGCAACTATATGCTCTACAAAGTGTCAAGCTCAGTAATAAGCTTAGGAGGGGCGGCAAGTGGACGCGTGAGGTCATATCTGCAGCAGCGAAATACGTGAGTCGCACGGACGCCCCGTGCGTTCCGATTGTAGTATCCTCATGCTCGTACTCACACAACATCCGCAAGCTCGCCGTGCAGCCAAGGAGGACAGCAAGTCAATGACCCGTGAGGTGAGTCCGAACTGTTGTCTGCGTCATCCAACTGACTAGCAGCCAGCTCGACCATACTCAGTGGATCGCATTGGCGAACAGTGCGCGTTTCGATATGGAAGCGTCCAAGACACCGGAGTTTCGTATCCGCTGGCGGGATGGCTAACCAGCCAGGTAATAAAGACACGTAAAAGGCTAGTTAGCGGAGCTACGCGTCCGTCAAGTACTTGTCTGCATCGTGTCCCATCGCATTGATCACGACACGCGCCGAATCAATCGCGCGTTGCTTCGCGTTGCGCAAATCCCGGTCAGGGAACATGCCGTGCGCAACGTCAAACTTGTATGGTCTGATTGCGGAGATAATGCCAGCGATAGCGCCAGGAGTAAGAGGGATCTGACACACTGGTCAATGACACGTTCTCGTTGAGGAACAAGAACGCACTGTGTTGACGTGTGACCAGAGGAACGCGTAATACGCAGTCCCAGGTTTGCGGTTGATGTCCCATAGTGCTGACTAGGAGAGCCATGTCAGGCAGACGAATTAAATGCAACAAAGAGACACGTACGCGCGTTACGTGCAGGCTGTCGGAAACGAACATGCTGTTCTTGTAGTGCAAGACGGCGCTGCCTGGGAAATGGCCCCCGGTCTTGATACGTGTCGCTCCCGAGCCATGCAGAATTTCTTTCTCTCGTTCCGTGACAAACCGCCGCACGTTGTGTTCGTCCGGTCGAGATATCAAATGGGACTCCTCGGCCGAGAGGAAGACGGGTGCGTTGTTGAAGGCTCGCGACCATGTGAGATGAGAAGTCCAAAAATGCGGGTGGGAAATAGAGATGGCGTCGACACCGCCTAGAGCGTTAATCTAACGTGACCTTGTCAGCATGACATTTATCCTCAAGGAGCACCTTCTACCTCTCTTATCGTGGCATCGTCGATGTACGCAACGCAGTCCCAGAGAATGTTGCCCTTTGTCGTTTTGATCAGGAAGCAACGCTGACCGATTCCCAGGACCGATTGGGTTTGGATAGTGTAGATATGTGGCTCGTTCTCGTATTGCTGGCGAATGACGTTCTTATATTTACCACTCGATTTTGCCTTGCCGAGAGTCGTGAATGCATGACCTGTCGCAGGGACAGATTCTCGGGGGTCCTGGAGGGCGACCTCAGCATCATGAGAAATAGTGCAGTGATCGTCGAGTTAATACGTTGCATATGTGACACTCGGTCAGTCCGTCAGCTTCAGTGGCGCCATGTTGTGTACCGCACTGGGTACACAGGAGCAAGTCGTCATCTTTATGGAACTCCATAGGGCTGGAGGTACGCATGTCAATTCGTCGCTTGCATTGGGCGATCTGTCATAGGATCGGCTTACGACTGCTCCTGTCCGCCCTGCGGAGAAGCGCGACTACTGTAAGGCCGAATCATCTCAGCCGCCTTCCGAGCCGCTGTGGACGTGCTCGCCCCGATCGTCGGCGACGCGCTCAGCAGCGAGAGGCGCGCCGCAGGTCTGCAGATGTTTCCGATGTCCAACGTGGTGGGGCGGGATGACTGTCTCGCAAGTCGGACAAGTCCAGGCCAGCTTCGCATTGAGTTCCCCATAGGATAAGGGCGCACGGCGGGCAGCATTGAGGTGAGCTGCGTGGGAGAAGAGATGTTGCCTTTTCAAGGGCGCCAACACGGATTTCATCACCGGCTGTTCCAAACCCACAATACAATTTCACCCTGGATTGTAGGCAGTCGGCGGAGACAAATAGACAAGATCACGCACTGCCACACGCACCCATCAAGCCCCGCACGGGGGACGAGCAAATGTGGAAGCCAAGCAAGAAGCCAAGTCAACGGGATGTGTCAGGATGTGTCGAACACACACATTCTCCCAAAAAAAATGCCTTAATGCAAGGTTAGCTTAGACATCCTTTGTAACACATATTTTCATCTCTCTGTGTGAGAAATGCAAGCCTTTTGAATGCTCTCGGTGCCATACCACCACTTACGTGACTTGCCACACGAGTTGATGGGACCTGGGTGTGTCAGATCCAGAGATCACGCACCTCTTGTCTCTTGGCCCAAGAGACAAGAGTCTTGGGCTGTTCCCTTCTCGCTTCCTGGAGAAGGACTGGAGGCAAGAGGTGATTGATCTCTGGATCTCGTCATCTCATCAGGCCAGTTCAGCAATGTCCGAGATTCGACCCAGCTACCTGCGAAAGCTCTCAAAAATTATCGCATTACTCGCAATTCCATTATCCCTGTTTATGTCGCACTCCTCAGTGGTAACTATGGTATGATGAGTCAACTGTGTGCACTTGGGCCGATGTTTGTGTTGACCAAACAATCTCCTTATATGGTACCCCCGGTCGTGGGAACGTTGGCCAAGATCCAGCGATCGATCACCTCTTTGACTGTGTATGCAGCACCGCCACCGTCTGCGTGAGTCAGAAATTTGACATGCAATTCAATGCATCCCAAAAAGGGATTTCGGGCACACGCCGAGAGGTACATAAGCGCTTGGCTTCAAACGTTTAAACGGAGTCGATTGATCTCTCTCTCTCTTGCTTTGTGGGCATCTGCCGCCGCACATATATCCTTACAGCCCTGAGAAACTACAATATCATGACTAAGTGAGAGCCATTGTTGTCAAACAAGATACTGCAATATCACGCCAAGTGGGATGGGGGTGTTAGTGTTGCCAAACCCGATCTAAGCCTGAATAAGAGCACACATAATGAATCCACCAACCCGCCTCATGCCTCGGAGCTTGGCGGGGGTGATCGCTTTTTTTCAGACTCCTCCACCGAACGCCTCCGCTCGTGCGCAGCCCCTCCCTCAGCGCTCTGCTCCTCCTTCTCCGTCTCCGTCTCAGGCTTCTTCTTGATGTCGATATTCCTAATCAAGAGCGCCAGTGCTACTGAAATCACGCTTGCCGGCACGCCGATGATGTACACGGTCGACAACGATTTGCTGTTAGCGGAGCGCGTCAGCCCAAAACGCGCGCACAGGGGGGAACTCACACGTAGGCGCGCACGACGCCCGGGACGAGCGCGGCCGGGACCGCTCCGTAGATCGACACGGGCGACTCCTGGATCGCGGCGAGCGGCGCGCCGGGCGCGTACTTGCGCAGGTTCCGCGCGAGCTCCGAGGAGAACGTCGCCTCTGCGACCGCCAGGCCGATCGTGCCGCCGAGGAACTGGAAAGCAAAGCGCATTCACTCATCAGCACTGTGACGCGGTTTCCGGTCGGACAGAAAACGCACTTGGGAGAAGTTCACCATGCCCGTCGCCTGGCTGATCAGCTTCGGCGTGTCGTCGAACTCGGCCTGCATCGCGAACAGGATGTTCTGCATCGTCGTGCCGACGCCAATCTATCGCCATTCGGCCGGATCAGACAGAGGCGCCAGAGTGAGCAGGACCGTGTTTACGCCGATGAGGATCTGGTACCCGACCACAGCCGCGCCCGACGTGGACGCAGTCACGGTGTACATGAGCCCTGCGCCGATTGCGCCGGGTACCGGTCCGCAGACGAGGAAGGGCCAGTAGCGTCCGAAACTGCCTAACGAGCAGCAGGATGGAAGATCAGACGGAAGGCCATTGCGCGGAAGCAGAAAGGCGACGTACCAACGATCTGCCCAGAGAGGACAATAGAAACTACGACGGCGAGCATGAGCGGGAGCAGGTCGACGCCACTCTTCGTCGCGGAATGGTCGCGGCCCGCCTGGTAGTATATAGCTGCACAACGTTGTAAGTAACCGAAAAATTCAAGTCTACTGAGTGTGGCTGCGCCTTACGAATGTACTGCAAGGAGGTGTTGGCAAGCACGCAGATGCGAGAGCAAGGAAGGCACGCACGTAGGTGAAGATGAGCAGGTTGAAGCGGTTGAAGATGGCGAAGAAGCAGATCGCGTAGATGGACATGCTCTTGAAGATCGTCAGCGGGACCATCGCGCGGTCGCCCAGGAAGCGCTCCCAGAGGACGAGCACGATCGCTAGCACGGGCGCGAGGACGAGGCACTATTGCGAGCCAACCAGTCAGCGTTCCGCTCGGCGCAGAAAAG